GCGTTCTTCCCAGAATTGTTCTGGATGTGTGATTTGTCTTGTGCATGTGCAGAGATGCACTTTATTGTGTAGTCCCACAGGGCCAGGATGTTGAGGGGGAAGGAAAGGGGGAATAAAATCGTTTTCACTTTCTATTGCGTGCCTCTTGCAGCATGGCTCACTGAATTTGTAAGCCCTGGTTCTAAAGCCCTGGAGCAGAGTGAGGTGCAGAGCATGGGGGAGGTTGCAGACACCGTGTTTTACTAAACTTGTTTTATCCTGGAATGCTTTCTTTCACTCTGTTTCAGGAAATGATTAGCCTTCTACCAAGAGTCTAACACTGAGTTTTATTCAAGCTGCTCACAAAATAAAAGATCTCAAAGCTTGAAAGCATGGGGTTGGCAACTAGACAGGTGCTTCGTACCTTTAAAATAAATATGAGTAGTCTGGTAATAAGTGGGGGAAAAAAAAGGTCTAATTTTGTATTTGCTTCCTTCCTGTATAGAATTCTGCAATTAAAACTGATCACTGTTCATAAGCAGGCAATGAATGACTATTTAAAATGCAGAACAAATGGAAAGCAGTTTTTAATTAAAAAATTCAAGTGTGTGCATAGAATTAAAAAATGCTGTGTCTTTTGGAATCTTACATATATCTCTGAAGAATTTCAACATTCCTAACATGCTTAATGAACATTCTTTATATACTCTTTCACATTAGTTTAAGCAAAGAATAATTGTCTGTTTTAAATGTATAATCACATGTATAATTACAGTGATGATAGTCTTTGGCTTTTTTATTTTTATTTTTTTTTATTTTGTGTGGTGCTTACAAAAGAAAACACAACTATTAGAAAATACATAAAAGGACTTTGCTTACTTTTCTTATTACTTCGCTTTTGAAGTCCATGGAGGAATCTGTATAAGTTAATATGGCATTGTACTCTTAAATCTAATTGTCAATAAGCTTTTGAAAATCAGTCAGTTAAAAAGATTATGGTTCCCTGGGCTCAGTTCTTTAAAAAGATTTTTCCTTCTTTTCTGATGTGTTTATTATGTGTACCCATATTGATAATTCCCTCATAGTTCTTCCAGAAGCATTTTCCATCTCAATTATTTGTTCCTCAAAACTGCACTTGCACACCAGTAATCAAATCAGGCTGTTCCTTTCTTTTCACTTGGAAGTCAGTAATATTGTTGCTTGGATTGCTATTTGTCATCTTTTCATGCATTGCATTGCTTTTTTACTGTTTTTTTTTATGTTTGAAAAAGAGCCTTCAGTGGATAGTAATTATTTCTTTTATGGATAAAATAGATCTGACATTAAAAAGTAACATGCTTATTTTCTGATGTATTTTTCTCATGTATCATAATTGCAGATGGCATTTACTGAGAGGTACAAAACAAGTATTCAAGATGTTAGTTATGTGGTTGGTTTTGGTTTTTCTCTTCCTTCCAATTTGACTGAAAGGACAGATTGTGGGTGCAACTTCAAAAAGTATATGCAATGCTTGAAAATTGAAATCTATTACCTAAACATTTTTTTTTAAACTGTACCCTGGCACAGTCTTTATCCTAAATAATTTTTAATTTTAGACTGTATTTAGCCTCGTTTTTTGTCAGCAACAGTGTTTTGAAGGTTTTTTTTTTGAGGGGGGTATTGGCTGCATAACCTGTCTCAATCTCTAAAGCAGCACTGTTTGATTTTGTTTCATCGACCTCTTGTATGCAAGGGTTCTGGTTTCTCTGTCAGGCTCTTAAATCTCTCTGAAAGCTCTGAGTTTTAATGCAGATTTTCTGCATGTTTGGAAGAACCTGCAAATTTTGGAGGAAAGGCTGAGTGCTCACAATAGGAATGCATAATGAACAGTTTGCCTTGTTTTCTGAGGTCATACCATGAACTGTGGCTGACTGCTCTGGCGTTGGGATCAGCTTTCAGAGCCCGTGGCACCTGTGCTGTTAAGATAAGGAAGGTCACCCTGGTCTGTTAAGATGTAGTGTTGCTCTGGACACAGTCGTTGATGCTCAGAACTGCTTTAGAGAGTTCAGTAGGGATGCTCCTAACTCTAAAGATTGCTTTCAGGATTGTAGGTAGAAAATGATAAATAAATTCAAAGGATTCAACAGAGAAGAAATTACTGAAAGAGACTGGCTTCAACACCTGAATTTCTACATTGTGAAATGTGAGCTCAGGTTGTTTCATTAAAGAGCTGCTGATTGACTTACAAGGTGGGAAAGAACAAGTAAGCTAAAATATTAAGCCCAAAACCACTCCTGATAAATATTGAAAAACTTGAAACACTTTCTTTTTATTGCACCCTGCTTCTAACCTCTTGTGCTCTGGCAAGTGTCTGCCCCAGACAGCTGTCTGTATTGTGAGCTTATCCCTCCACACAGAGGGAGGCTACCAGTAGGATGGTGGGGGATGCAAAACTGTCTGACTGGGTTTCCTCACAGACCGAGATGGGGCAGTGCAAGTGCAAGGTGTTCCAGGAGGTGCAGCACCCTGACTTGGCTTTGCTAATGAACCCCTGAGAGAGCCCTTTCTGTGCTGTGGGTGAGGAGGGGAACAGTCTGTGTGGTGGGTAAGTTCATCAGTCAGCTGGCACACACACCTCTCCAGCTCCAGGCACTGAAAGCAAGGAGGTTGAAATTCGTGGAAATGCAACTGAACGTTGGTCTTCATGTACAGTTCTCTGGGACAGAATAGTTCTTTCTGGTTTCATCTCTTCTTGGTGATGCAGAACTTGCTTGTGAAAATAGAAAATGTATGTCTGTTGGATAAGGGTGTATAAAGTCCTTAAAACTGTTGTGCTTTAGAAAGCAAGCTTGGAATTACAACTTCTCGTCTGTAAGAACAATCCTGACTTAGCACTTCCTTGCTGATTCCGCCTCACTAAGGCTTCTATATGTGCCATTAAATAAACACAAGTGGGAAAGTCGTTAGAAAATGCCTGCATTGCATTCTCAGTGGGATTTGATTCCTTTTGAGGAATTTCATTTGGGCACGGGATGAGGAGGAAGCCTCTGCTATGGTTCTGGTGTGTGACTGCCTAAGTCTGGCATTGAATCCATTAACTTCTCAGTGAACTAAGGCAAGTGTAGCCTCTGAGGCTTTAAACAACCTTTGTTTGGTTTCATGCCTGGTAACTAGTGCTGTAGAAAATGTGCTTTTGCATTTGGTATTATATAGGAAATGTGGCTTCTGGTGTCTGGATTTTTTATGGATTCCCTAGTACCTCAAACCTGCATGTCAAGGTACTTCTCCCTCTTGTCAAATAGTCTTCTACGTTATAGGTTTTCATTAGCTGAACAAATCTATTGCAGGTGTGTTGGAAGAATTTAAAAATGAAGGATTTAATGAACTATACCCAGGTGGTGCTTCTATGATGATGTGTAAAAGTTGTTTGTAAAGGCATGTAGGGGTTCCTTTCTGTGAAAGTAAAATGAGATATTGTACTGCAGTATGTAGTTTTTAAAAATCTGGTCTTAAAAAGGAGTATCTGCACAAGGTAATAAATATAAAGGAAGAAAAATCCCCAGAAGACTGATTACCAGACCAAAATCAAGAGGAACCCTGAGATTTCTCATGTAACCTGGAGATCAACCTAATGCCCCTTTAACTCCATGAACCTTCCCAAGATGTGTAATTGTGACAAATGAATCAGTTCGGCATTAGAGTTTCTAGGTATTATAAGTTATGGAAGGCTGAAGATAATAGTAAGAAAAAAAAGAATTTCTACTATGGACAAACTAGCCAAAACTGCTGCAGAAAGTTAAAAATTCTTTCAGAGCTCATAGTTTCCCCTTAGATACACAATTTCCCTTGAAGAATGTGAAATCAGGGAGTTTCTCTGGTAAGTCTTCTCATTTCAGGGATCAGAATACCAATTTCTGTTTCAAAGTTGGGACCATGCCCAGAGGGATGCTCCAAAGCACTGGTGGTGCCCATGGGTGCAGCGTGCCTGCTGGTGCCGTGTCTGGTGTGGTGTTGGAGGGTGCAGTGTCCTGCTGATGCTGTGCAGGGTGTCCCTGCTGGTGCAGTGCCCTCTCATGGGCACAGCTCTTGGACACCCCTGTGCCAGGCTTCTCAGCTGCCTGAAATCCGTGCATGACTTGATGGTCTCATCTGCCTCCTCTCCAGGGGGTGTGTAAATGATGACATACTGACTTACTCGGATAAATGCACTGTGCAATTTGTTTTATTCCTGTTTATAAAAGCTCCATGCTGCCAACACCCTTTTCAAATAAAATGGATCAATGAGTGAGACTTGTAAGCACAGCAGCCAATTTTTCTGAGAGGGTGCCAGGTTCTCAGTATATAGTCTCTGGCACGTAACAGCTATGTGGCAGCACCCATACCAGTTGTGTCCCTGTTTTCCATTGTCACATGAACACCAACCTACTTTGCTTTTTGGAGAAGTGTGGGGTTTGTCATAGGAGAGAAACGGGATTTTGACAACTGTTTTAATATAAAGCCTTGTAGTTGTGCTTCTTCAGTGTCTGTGGTATAGTATAGTATAAATTCAAGGCTAATGTTTTCCTTTTTCTTGCAAAAATATCCTGACTGGTGATTTTAATCAGATTTGCTTTCATGTAGGTGGTATTTAACAATTAACTAGCTATAGAAAACTACAGAAATTAACAAACAAAAAAAGGACTTTATTTAGGGCTCTTCTCTGTTGCCTGCATGTATGCAGGTAGGGGAGAATGAAAAAATAAAAGGACAAAATTTGGCATGTTATATTTACAGTTCATTAGGTTATTGCATCAGGTGCAGCATTATCCAAATGCCGTGGACTGTTCTTGCCTCTTAGTGCCAAGTATTAAATTAGTGTATATGGTAGTAGCTGCTATGTTTTCAACTGATGAGACAGATTGGTATGTATATTTTATTTGAAAATCTGATTTACTTGTATTTTTTTATGCTAAACACATTGGCAAATTTATTTCAAAAGCTAGTTCACATACATTTTGTTGATGAATTTAAGTCATTTGCAACAATATTGTTTTCTCTTTAAGGTTTTGACAGAGGGAAGGATGATACGTCACAAAATAAAGATGATTCGGCGTATTCTATGTCAAAAAGCAAGGTAAAGAGAACAACTTCCTAACCTGTCTTAAAAATGTTGATATGTGAAGGAGTTGCACATTTTTAATTAAAGGCAAATGTATTTAACTTCTGTTGTAGAATCTTGAAGATTACTGTTCAGATTCAGCAATAGATCAAGGTTAAAGGGAATCTCTTTATATAGTTCCTAGGATGACATCACATCCAAATCTGTGGTTCAAAGTAGTGAAAATTAAATAAGAAGTCTTCTTCCTGTCATCTTTGAGTGGGATGTTGCCATGCCATAGAGTTTAAATTGCCTTGCCGTACAGTTTAAAGGCTCTATCAGCTGCGTGGTGTTCTATTTTCTGCTAGGATGTCCACTGTCTTTTAGAGAGGCAAATGTGCTAACAGACACTTAAACAGATTGTTGGGGTCCAGCAGCTGTGGGTTGGTCTGGAAGGTGATGATGTGATCTAGAGCACTGCTAGCTCCCAGGGTAAAAGGGGAGGTTCCTGCTTTTTGCTGCTTTTGCACACAGCAGTTCTCAGAGCACTCTGTCCTGGGCACAGGCAGCCACACCCCTTGGAGATGGGGCTTGCACTCGAGGCCTGAACACAGTTTTTTGTGTGGTGTTTGTTATATCAGAGACATAAAAAGAAACATTACAAAGATGCTGAAGGAAAACGAAGAGACTTAAAGATGATGGTAGCATTTCCAGGTTTAAATGGTGTCATTGAAATTGCAATGGGATAAGCAGTTTAGTTTCTGCAGCTCTTGCTGCAGTCTTGTGTGTAGCTAAGCATTTCAAACTGTGGGGGTCTTACACATGACTTGGAATTACAAACCTTCGTATATTTTTGCTTTTCTGCATCCTAGAGCCTCACTTGTCAGTGATATCAAGGAAGTATCCTTTACCACCCAGCTTTCTTGTGATCAAAATATTTATATTGGTCCAGAAACCTCAAAATCCGTTTGACTTGGAAATCAAGTTATTATGATCTCCTTTGACTTGGATTTATTCTAGACTCTGAAGAATCATTTATCTTTCACTATCCAATTCCTTTTTCCTCTCCCTTATATTTATTTTTCTTAGTTCTTGTCTTAACACGATCTTAAGTCTTTGGGTTCTTTGCTATTAGATTTTTTTGTGTCTTTCTGTCAAAGATGAGACCAACATTACTATTTCTGCTAATACATGTTGTTCTTCACCTTTTTTTTTTTTTAAATTGCAGCATGTAGGGCTTGATTTTACTAGTGAAAGTGAAATAGCATCCCTTCTTCCTAAGGGAGAATGGAAAAGTAGTGATGGGACTTGCCTGGAATCTTGTATTGAATGTACCTTGCTGGGAGTTTCAGCAGGTTCTCTTAAAATGTTTTCTTCTACATTTTTTATCCTATCCACTTTGAGTAGATACAATAGATTACTGGCTTAAAAATATACAGATCACTGACCTTTCTCGTAACATTGAACAGCTAAATGTAGACCTTCACTCAGTGTCATATTAATGAGCTTTAAAACTGAGACAATGAGAAAATGAGTTTTTGTAGCCTGGGAAACTGCCTGGTTTGGGGCTTTTCTATGCATGACCTTTAGCTTGCCTTAGCTTTCTGATAGTGAGCAACTAGAATATTTATGAATGTTTTGCTTAAGTTGTTCCATTATAGCTTGCATAATGAGTTCATTACCTCTTCTTATGTGACAGTGATAATCATTTTTCCCCTCTTCTGTTACTACATTTAAAGTACTGTATTTCCTTTAAATTCTAGATAGAGAGAGGAATTTAATTTCAGGTTGTACACTCATCTTAAAGTGAAATTTTGAGTGTCAAGAATATACCTTTATTACAAGATGTTTCCTTCATTTTTCCAAGGCAGATACAGAAGTTAAAGAACATTAACTTATCATTAAAAAAAATTTGAGCTAAAATTACATTTTGCCTGTTATTGCACATACCTTTTTTACAGTAACTAAGTAGACTCCTGTAGAGTCTTAGTTCTGAATTAAAGATGTAAAGTATAATCCAGGTTAAATAGTTCTGTACAGCTTGTGACTCTTTAGGCTTTGTTTCTTTTGTTTGAGCAGCCTGTGAGTTAAGAGAATGCTCAAATGCACTGTTTTTATTATAGCTGTAAGTTTTACTCTAAGCTTGCATATTTTTTGACTGTCATTTTATAGCATTCCAAAATACAAATTGAGTGAATAGACTTTGTACTGTTGTTTGAGATTTGAAATGTGGAACATCTTGAGTGTCAGTTTTGATAAAATGTCCTTGAATTTGATTTGAATACACAGTTTAGAATGTTACATTGTTTTGAGTTTGGAAATTTTTTTTGTTTTTTTTTTTTGACAAGGCAGAAATTTTGGGTCCACTAGGCTTGTGTTTCAGTGCACAAAGAAATACAACTCTGTAATTTATCTGTAGTTTTATATACTGAATACCTAATGTTCTCTGTCCTCCAATAGGAATGGAATGAAAACTATCATAAACTCCTCTTAGGCTCCTGTTTCTCTCCCTTTTTTTTTTCTTCCTCTAAAGAGTGCTGTTCCCAAAGTGAATATTTGGTGGCTTGAGTTCCCTTTCAACTAGTAGGCAACAAGCCCCTGGGAGTAAACTTTGAACCTTACAAGACATGGGGGGAGAAATCATGTGGTGCTGAGGCAGCTCACTGTCCTGCATGAGCAAGACTTGGGTGTCACAAACAAACCTGGCTCTTGTTCCTGCCTGATGCCACCGTGAGCTTCTTGACGATGACTTGCAAAGTAATCAGAGCGTGGAATTAGGGTGCAAGGAGCAGAACAAGTGCCATTAGTGGACAGTTGTACTCTGATGATTTACACAGCTCTGAATCCTAGACTGAAGAGGCTGTATTTTCCTTCATGAGTCACAGGGTAAGTGCCTCTAGAGCTGTCAAAATGTGGAAGAAAACAGCTGATTCTGTATTCTGATTCATATATCCTGGGAGTGATTTCTATATTAAAACACCTGGATTCTCCTAAAACATCCTCTCTCTGCTAAAATAATGCCTAACTATTCAAGCATGCTGTCTAGTAAACATGAGCTCGTGTCTATGAGCTAACTATTTAGTGTGTATGGGTCAGCTGCTTCTGAAGGAACCTCAGACTTCTTTGCCATAAAACCCTTACAGAAAGAGACTCCATGAATAGGTGGTGAACAGCTCATGTTAAAAGTTGTGGTTTGTTGGTTTGTTTGGGTTTTTTTAACAGGGAAGCAGTAGAGATGTGAGAGGGAATAGGAATCTTGCAAACATAATTGCACTTTAAACACTTGCTCAAGTGCCAGCATCAGCAATATATTCTTGTACCTATCATTATAATTTATTTATTATGTGTGTTGTGAATTTCAGTCTGAATCCAAGCTTTTCAATGGCTCTGAGAAGGACATCTCTCAATCTGCAAGCAAACTTACAAAAAAAGAATCTCTCAAGGTAAGTTAATTTCCTAGTAAATCCTCATGGACTATAAATGCATTCACATAGTTTTACCTTTTTCTCTAATAAGAAAACAAAAGTGCCAAATAAATATTCCCTAAGTCTCATCATTAAGTATTGTGAGAAATTGGGCTATTGAGTCTCTTCAAATTTTACTGTATTTTTACTTGAATAATGGCTTTAATAATGCAGTCTTAGAAATGGCACAATATTGTAGAATAACTCAGAAGATTATAGATTATTTCAGATTGGCAGGGGCCTCAGGACATCTGCATGCAATGAAATGATAAATGGAATTAACAAAATTGCAATTTAAATGCATTTTTCCTATTTCTTCCCTCTGCACTGTAGCAAGACCAAATTCCACTGTTTGGTAGATAACATTTCAGGAGAAATGTAAAATTATTTGGCTTTAAATGAGGGAGATAAATTTCTGCAAATTTCTCCTAGGGGGGAACATAACTGATGGGTAAAGACCACAGATCAGATAATGTACCTGTACATTGGTTTGGTTGATTTTTTCCTCCCCTTTGATACTTACAGGAGTTTAAAAGTCCTCTGTTTTAAAATAGAAGTGCAGAAGAATCTGAAATTGGCTGTCATAGCTGCTTTTGAAGTAACTGTTCGCTCTTTGAAGTCAAATAATCTGTTTTAAAACCGTTTTGCTGTATCTGTAGTGCAAATTGAATTTAGCAGGTTTTTCCTCAACTTGTATCCATCAATACCTTCTTGTGTTGATAACTGGCTTATGGCCATGACATTGTAAACATTTTTATTATTATTTACAGGTTCAGAAGAAAAACTACAGAGAAGAAAAGAAGAGAGCCACGAAAGAATTACTTAGCACGATCACGGACCCCGCAGTTATTGTTATGGCTGACTGGCTGAAGGTCAGAATCCAAGTGTGAAACCTGAGTTGAAGATGGAGCAGTTAGTTGCTTGCTGCTTTCTGGCCAGAATGAAAAAGGCTCAATCTTTTACTTGCTGTTAATGTTTTTCTACAGGCACAGCAGCCACTAATTGCATCCCGAGGTCTCTGTGCTCAAATCCTAGGGGACTAATAGAGGAACTTAGCTCCCATTTACTGCAGTCACCCTAGTCACATTATTGTGTGCATAGCCATCAACTTGGGATGAGTTGGCTTTGCAATTCTCATTTTGTTCTTCTCATTTTACCCTTTGAAGTGGCTCTGTTACATACGTAACAATTGCCAAAATTACTCAGTCAGATATTTGAATGCAGGTTTCTTTGTGTATTTCTGGCAATTTTCCTTTCCTCTCTTAAGAACTAGCTGGTACTGCTATCTTAAAGACAGCAGTTCATATTATCAACAGTAGTGCAGTTGAATTGTCATACTTCCCATATCAGGATGTGTGCATACCCATTTGTAGAACTGAGTATTCCTCAAGACAGAAGAACAAGCATACCTTTGTATTCTTTAATAAACCTGTGTAAACTTTTGAAAGACCTGATAAACTTTGCTTTGAAATAAAAGCTACTTTTGGTATTGACTTCATTGAGATACAACTGTAACTATTTATCTTCTAGATTCGTGGTACCTTGAAAAGCTGGACCAAACTGTGGTGTGTACTGAAACCAGGAGTGTTGCTTCTTTACAAAACTCCCAAAAATGACCAGTGGGTAGGAACAGTGCTGCTGAACGTTTGTGAACTCATCGAGAGGCCTTCTAAAAAAGATGGCTTTTGTTTCAAACTTTTTCATCCTTTGGAGCAGACCATATGGGCTACAAAGGTTAGTGGTAGCATGCCTGATTCTTAAGGGATGACTAGCATTAATCAGCTACAAGTAAAGACAACCTCAATGAAAAGCTGAACTGTGTTTTCTGTCTCAACTTCAGTGGTTTGTGTTGATTGTGAATATAAGTCCTCAACATATAGTCCCATTCATCAGAAAAAGTATTTGATTTATGCTGCTCTGTGTACTTAAAGAGCTTCAGAAGTGTGGAATGTGCCAAGGTTTGACATTAAAAAGGTTAATGCCATCACTGACAATCACATGAATTAAAGGAATGAGTGTTTAATGTTATATTTTACATCAGTCAAATCTGAGAAATTAAGGTGAGATTTGCTAGAATAAAGGAGTTTTGTTATAAACATTTCTTGGTGTCCAACTCTGTTTTCATGTAATAAAATGTTACCTCAGTTCAATTTACTTGTCAGAGTCAAAAAGCAGATTACTTGCTTGGGCAATAACGGCTCATATTGCAACTTGTTAGCCAAGTCTGCTCCTTTTTGTTAAGATGTTAGGAAGATAAATGTTTTCATTCAGTTCCCCTGTCTGTTTGCCTTGTCATACATGGCATGATATTGTGAGCAGCTCTTACCTGTGTTGAAAAGCACAGGTGTGTTGTGCAGAACAAAGGTTTATTTCAGTATCTTGTAAGGATCTTTAATGCTTGCTCTTACTCACTGTTTGTAATCTGATAAACTATTTTAGTCCTTGTTTTGTGTTTACATGTGGAGAGGGGATGTGGAAGCACAGCACAAGTGAACATATTTTCCTTCTAAAATAACATCTTGCTTTAGATGAAATTACTGTACAATATTAGGACCCTTGTTATAATTATACCCTCTAAAATATACATTTTACAATCTCACAATACCTCTTCTAGATCTTAAATCGATAAGATGTATTGTCACATCTGTAGAATATGCTGTGTTAAATTTGTCATCCTTTTCTTAAGGAAGTCAGTATAATTCTGGATGCTTGTGGTCATTCTGGATTGTGATAATTTATCAGTGTTATCTAAGTTGACCAAACTTAGATCAAATCACTTGTAGTTTCTTTTGAATAATTTTATTTTATTGTTGCTTAGGCAAACTTTTCAGTAATTAGTGGTGATCTCACATTTGCAGAACACAAACTCCATATCCTTCTCCAAAGGTATAGCATTTGGTGTTAATGTGCTTTATTTATTATATATATACATACATTGCAAAGTGGTGGCCTGTCTGCAGGAGATCACAAATCAGTCTTATATTTCTTTATTGCTTGGCAATGAGAAATGGATTTGTTTGTTTTTTTAACTAGATATTTAGAATTTAGAGGACATGCCCTACCAGATTTTTACTTTTTTAAGGTAGGTCAAATTTTGAACCTGAACAAGTTGATATTGTCCATTCTAAATGTGCTGAGAGCTGGAGTGGCGTTTGTTCATTTTGGTATGGCTATTTGCAGTTGAGAATTACTGGATTCTATTAGATAAAAGGCCTTTAAGTTGAAACCCTTTTCTGCCTTGTTTACCTAGTCAATCATAATGTCCTAGTTACAGATTTATTATCACGAGGCAAACTTGCATAAGTGTAATAGCAGTTGACTGATCTAGAGTAGATTTTCCAGAAAGAGCCTCAAGTCCAAGGCAAAGTGAGCTTTGTTTGCAGTTAGTGCAGAAAGATAGCATTGCTAAAAACATGGATAGAGGTATAAGTACTGCAGGAGATCTCATTTGAACACACTACCCATGGTGTGTCCTTCTGGCAGACTGCAAATTCTCTTCTGCAGTAGTTTGTGACCAGTCACTTCACATGCTCCCTTAAGCCTCTTGCTGTGGTCTTTGATGTTCCTCCTGCACTGTGAGGTAGCTGATGCACTGTACCTTGTTCATCTTCCTCGTGTGCCTGGTCCTGATGCCATTTCAGTTTTCTGCAATTAGTAATTAGAAAAGTTAATGCAAATAATTTTTTATGAGTAAATTCAGCCATGGGTGACTGCGTACCAGTTTTCATTGTTCTCTTTGAAACAATGTTCATGGCATTTCGGTTTTCCTGACATGAATATTCTGTAAAAAGTAAACTTCAACATTTTTTCAATCTAATGGAATTTTTAATCTGACCATTGGCTTGGAGTAGTAGCATCATTCCATCAGAAACAGAGACAATCCAAATAAAGTCACCCAGCAAGCAGGAATTAATGTGCCTCTTGTACAGATGACTAACTACTGGAAGTTGGTTTTGAAACCATAATGGGTGATATCAAAGAAAAGTATCCAGTGTTGTTGGAACAGTAACCAATTAGAGGAAATCAATATCCATGAGCAGTTATATAAAATAAGTCAACTTAAATCTTTGCTAAAAATTACTGACTTGATTTTAATCAATGTATTGCTAAAACACTTAGGGAGTGTAACTTTCTTGCATGTAAAAAAAAAGAGCAAAACTGGACACCAAAACCACACTTCACCTCTAAATTGTAGTTGTTGTTACAGAGCAAGTGCCCAAAGTATAAACCCAGAGGGCAGATCTCATGAGCAGAAGAGTGCCCTTAGTCTGCCCCAGTGTCCTGTGACCCGAGAGTTTCAAGGTTTCTGGTGGCTGAGGCCTTTGCAGGGTGCTGGCAGCACCCCAGCACCTCTGCCACCCCTGCCTGGTGTGGTGCTCTCCCCTCCTCAGGTGACACTGGACTTCTTCCCTGCCTTCCCACCCTTGGGGTGAGGAGTGGTCATGCATTGGGGCTGTCCCTCTTGCTTCTTGGTGCCCACAACTCCTAATCCTAGTGTTGCTCCTTCAACTGAGGTTTGGAATCTCGTTTCTAGCACCCAATTGCTGTTACTTTATATTGACTCCTTGGGAGTTTCTGAACATCATTTACACCAGCACTAGCTCATCTGTATTGGTATTTAAGTGCCACCAAGACCACTCCTTTTCCTGCTTCTTGCCCTCAGAAACGTTCTGGCTGTTTCATTTGCTTGCTTCTAAAATTACCTGCCTTTATCTGCTTTTGCTCAAAACTTCTGCTGGCTTTCCAATTCCCTCTTCTAAGTCTTATATTGGCTTTCCATTAGGCTTCTCTGGGGGAAATCAGTTAAGATCAAAATATGTTAACTCATCAGTTAGGCAGGCTTAACTCAGCTTTCAGCGATAGCTTCAAGTATGTTTAATACAGCCCTCTTTACCTATCAATTGTCTTAAAGTTACCATAGATAAAGTTTTTTTGGAAGGGACTTAAAATGGTTATTTAACATTTTGTTCCAAAATGAAGGTTGACAGAAATGGAAAAGTCTTTTGAATTTATTTTTTTTGATGTGAAGTGTTAAAAACTTCATAGTGAAAATAAAACTATGGCCAAGTCTGATTTATACACCAAAAAAAAAAATGCACCTCCCCCCAAAAAAAAATAAACCACCAAAAAACCCCACACCCAAACCAAAAACTAAATTTTTTATCTCAAAGACCATTCTTTTGAAAAGTGGGCTTGAATTGGGTCCTGTAACTTAGAAATTAAGTCTTTGAAGAAGAAATCCAGTGAAAGAGGGCTGTCTATCTTTCCATTCATGTCTTCATTAGATGTTGCTGAGTGACAGTAAATAGCCCTGCAGTGTGTCAGCTTCTTACTACATTGAATGATAAACTGTAAAACTGAATTAAAATATTTAATGCTGTTTCTTGTTTTGTGTATTCCAAGGGTCCTAAAGGTGAAGCAGTTGGTGCTATAACTCTGCCATTGCCCAGCAGTTACTTGATCATCCGAGCTGCTTCAGAATCAGATGGTAAAAAGATACTTCATTGACTTTCAGCAGTGACAATAGTTAGTTATGAGAGAGATGGTTTCAATTGTTTTATCATGTCTGTTACAGCACTTCGATTGCAGTTTAATTGTTGTTAAGGTTCTCCTTTAATTTAGAGCATTTGTTATGTTGGTAGTAGTACTTTTTCATGGTTATTAAAGGAGAATACTGACCTGAAGGAAAAGTTATTGAACTCCTTGCAGTTGACTGGGTAGAGGAGGAGGAGGAAAGGGTTATCTGTGATTTAGCTGTATTAACGTATGTCTAAATATCAAGTGCCTTTGTAAAGTGCAAATATGGGTGTATTCTTATTAAAGCATTTCTGTGTTAAGTGCAGAAGTTGCACAGAGCTCTAGCAGTAAAAATTTCTTCAAAATGTAGTTCTGTAAACACACTTCACTGGGAAGGTGGTGATCAGTGCAACTACTTTCTAAAGTTACAATGTGAAAAAAAATTTAAGACTGCTGTGTAGCTCTTTCTAGCAGGTGCTTTTCATCTACTGGTTAATTAAGCATACCCTTGCAGACTTCAAAAATAGGACTCTCTCTGCTTTCTGTATTGAGAAACAGATTAGATGGGAAAGAAGTAAGAAGGGGAGAGAACACATAATTTTTTTCAGTTACGTTTTGCCAAAGAAAATTAGAATATCTGCTTTTATCAGTTGAAATGTTATACACTATCATTATAGCTCTTTTTCCACACGATTATCATACTATTTGGCAAATTTGCCAAATGATGCAGTTGCTGAGTCTTCAGAACCAGAGCAGGGCTGCAGGCAACTTTGGGGACATTCCACAGTCATGGCCTGGGTGGAACCAGACTTGCATTAAGGAAGAAATACTGGAATATGCTCAAACAAAATCATGATTTACCTTGCTTGTCCTGCCCTGAAGCATCTCTTATACTGAAGCTAGGTGGTTGCGAGTTGTTCCTATGTCCATACCAGACTGTAAGATCCAATGCATGTAACAAAGAACATCTCTGAAGTGTGTTTTCAAAGGCAATGCAAGCAGGCCCAAAGGACTAATTTTCCCAGTTAGGAAACAGAAGTGATATAGTTCTGTTAAATCCTTAATTTTTAATCTAATACTAAATTTGTCTTTAGGCAGGTGTTGGATGGATGCTTTGGAGCTGGCACTGAAATGTTCAAGTCTGCTTAAACGTACAATGATTAGGGAAGGTAAAGAACACGATTTGAACTCCTCAGCCGACAGTACTCATGTTTCTTTCTATGGTCTGCTTCGTGCTAACAACTTGCACTGTGGAGAAAACTTACCGTAAGTGAATTCATTATTAAACCTGATTGAATTTTAGCAGAACCTTGGAGTGATAATTTTACCACAGAGAAGCTAAGGCTGCAGTTTGTTTTGCTCCTGAGTTCTCTTTATATGACTTATTTGCAGTGTGTTTTATGCCCTGCACATAAAATGAAAAAAAATCTTTTTTTAAGCAAAGTGGATCCAGGGGAAAGTTTGGCCCAAGGAACTTGGAGTATTGCATCCATAGGTTTAAGTACTCAGTTAAACTGTTTAAAATAGAAAGAATTAAAATTTTAAGTTGGTGTCTCTTGTTAGCTTCAGAGAGATGGTTGATGTCCCAAGCTCATCAGTGTCATTTGGCAGTTCAGTCGAAAGAGTATACATCCTATATGTTTCCAGCAAGGCTAGTTTGACACTGCTGCCACCTCAGGCTTGATACTGGCAATTTTGGTGTGTATTTTATTAAGATCCTGGTTTGGAAACAATGAAATGATTGTGTAAAGTTCAAGATTCATTTGGCCTTTGTTTTTAATAGGTTAAATGACAGTGAAGTTGAAAGGCATCACTTCAAAGATCAAGATACATACTCTGACAAGTCTGATAAGGAAAATGACCACGACCACGAGGAATCTGATAATGATGGACTGGGGAAAAGTGAAGAAAGCGACAGCGACACATCAGAGCGACAGGATGATTCTTATGTCGATCCAGAACCAATTGATATCAGGGAAACTACTTACTTAGAACAGAGTCATGAAGAACTTGGGGAGGTAAAAGTGCTGTTGATGTATTGAGCAAGTGGCTTCTCCAAATAGCTGATATTTTAGGGGTTAGACTACACTTGAAAGCTGACTTGCAGGATTGGCTTTCATATTTTCAGCAATAATGTATAGAAGAGTTTCTGTTCACCCATATTCTGCTCTGCCTTGCCACTCATGTGCCTAATGTATGAGATTTTAACAGAGATAATTAAATTACCTGGTGTATTGCTCAGACAGAAGGTATAGAAAGGGCCAACTGCAGCAGAAGTTCATCATGACTACTTGTTCTTTTGCTGTTGCTTCTGTTTGGGTTTTATTAACTTAGTCCTGCTTTTTCTTCAAGTAAAAATATTCGAGTTCAAGGTTTGAATGCAACCTGACACGGTAGTTTTTTTTTCCCTGCAAGAGAGAATTAGGCAGTTGTAGTCTGCAGAATTTAGTGGAAGGCTTGCTGTGCTTCTGATGTCACCTTGCATTCTAATGATTCCGTAGAGCTGCTATTCCACTTCTGCAGGTTGTCTTATATATTTGCCTATACAGGCAAAGACGACAGGGATTTGTAAACCAAAAATCTTGGTAACAGAAATTGAAATAATTAAAATCAATTGAAATAAATTTTCCATGAAGAGAAATAACCATGAGATTTTTTTTTTATATTCATGGAACTTGCATATCTTACATTTTTGTGCTTTCTAGTACCATGCCTAAACAAAGCAGTATTTTAGGAAAAGCTGAGGAGTTTTAAGTGACAAATTTTTGAGTATGCATTTTAGAACTGTTGTGGAAAAAGGGATGCCTTTCCTTGCTTTTACTACAACCACTACTCTTGATTTCAGAAACTATATGAGATAATATCTCCCCTCTTCTTGGACAGAAAGAGCATGGGGTGTGGCTGCTGGTCTTGCTCAGTTATCCCTAAGTAGTGTATTTTTTTTAAGGAGAACCACTGATCCTGCTGACTGATCCAAGGAAGTGAAAAGCACAGACATGCCAGCTTTTATGGCTGAGAAAAGCTGGCAGAAAGAACAGCCATTTGGTGTATAAGTCCTGCATGTGAGAAGAGAGTAATGCAGTTGATTCCTAGGAAAGGACTAAGGAAAGGTTTCTGAGCAACATTCTACCTCAAATTTTTCCAGCCTAGAGATGATGAAAACAAATACAGTTTTTAATGCTGAATAGGATATCTATAATACCTCATTAAAGATGTATCATAAGTGTATTTATAGAAACTTGATCTAACTTCCATAGTTGCTTCAGCATCTCAGAGTGGTATATTTTAAGTATCCATTTCCCATTCTCACTGCAACATTAGAATGTGTTGATCTGTCTTCTGGAGGATTATTTGCTTTCTCCTTTCTGTAAGCAGTTTTTTGGCTCATTTTAGGCAGGTGAGGCTGCTCAGACAGAAGAAGTGTCAGAAGAAAACAAAAGTTTGATCTGGACACTCTTGAAGCAAGTCCGGCCAGGAATGGACTTGTCCAAGGTTGTGCTGCCTACATTTATTTTGGAACCTCGCTCTTTCCTGGACAAGCTGTCTGATTACTACTACCATGCAGACTTTCTGTCCGAGTAAGTCAATCCTGTCTCTGGTTTTCATTCTTACCATTTTTAAATTAAAATAAGTAACAGTGTCAGATATTGTCATTTTCTGAAAGCTGACTGCCTTGAGAGCTCATATGGCACATCTTGCAGCCTGGCCCCTCTTACAATTTAATAGCAGTTGTGTTGCAGGCGTTTCTGGTTTAGCTTCTGAAGACTGGTTGTAAGACTTCTGAAAATTAATTTAATTCTTTTTCTCCAAGAAGCATATTTAAAATGAGAAACTAATACTAGTTAATTTTTTAAATACAATGTTCTGTCCAGATTTACAGTTGCCTGCCTAAATGTAGCCAATAAATTAAAGACTGTAAATTGAAATATTATTCAGCTCAGAGCTCTGCATGTAACTGGGCTGGTAGTAAAAAGATATAAAAGTAGTAACCTATAAATGGAAGAACTTGAGTAGGGGTGAGACAGAATTTAGTGTTAAAAAGAACAGACTCAAATATGGAAATATCATTTCAGGCATTTTTGTTTGACTTCAATTTTCAGACAATTGTTTGAAAACTTTAAATTTGGTGAGGTTGAGCTGAAAGTTTTACAGTAGTGCAAATCACAGACTTGTTTTAGTCTCATAGATTCAAGATATGTCACAACAATTGATAGCATGTTATAAATGATGCAATATTGATACTTGATCTGTGTGTTCTGTTTCACAGAGCTGCTCTTGAAGAGAATGCTTACAACCGCATGAAAAAAGTAGTGAAGTGGTATTTATCAGGATTCTACAAAAAGCCAAAGGTATACTTTCACATATTACTTTGTCTTTAGTCACTATGCCTAGTTAGAGGACTTAGGAATATGCTGGAGTAAGTTTTTATTTTAAATTTATATTTTAATGCATTTTTTTAAAAAGCAAAGTTAAGTTTTCATTGCTTACACAAATACATCATGGAAATTTTTGGTCCTTAGCCTTTCTTAAAATAGACTATATTCAATTGCGTTTGTCCCTTGGAGTAGAAGGTGAACTAAATGTTTTTTGATAAAGTTGAGCCAGTTCTATATTTACCATTCTTCAGTGATAACAGTCTGAAAATGGAGGACTAATGTTTCCACCACTTCATTTAGCTTTGCCCTAAGTACTCTTCATAGTCATGTTGTTGGGAAATAGTATTGACAGAAAGTATCAGACAAAACCTCTATCATATTTCTGCAAAAAAACCCAAACCTTTATATCTGTGTGTCTTTATGTGTAGAATAGTTTAGTGGATATACTGAATGTATGAAAATTTCCTTATTATGAAGAGCAGACTAATTGAGAATAGTATTTAAATGATTAAATCAAGTACCATGTTCTTTAGCATATTATGATAATTTTTTTTCCTATGTGTCTTCAGTGATAGACTGATAAATGTTTTGTGACTTGTGTACATGCACAGTGTGGTTACTCTATTTAATTTCTGTTTAGGGACTAAAAAAGCCGTACAATCCTATACTTGGAGAGTTTTTCCGCTGCATGTGGATTCATCCAAGGACAAACAGCAAGACTTTTTATATTGCAGAACAGGTAGATGCAAAAACTGGAAAAAAGAATTTTAAGAAAAATAAATGTATTGTATATTTGTGCTAGTTAAATACTATGGGAGTTTCAGAAAATGTATTGAAATGTACAAATAGTATCCTAAAACCTCTCCTGGTGAGCACAGTTTTCTTACAGATGTCTCTTAAGTGTGCCTTCCTAAAGAGAGAGAGGGAGGAAGGTGTTTCCAATATTTCTGTTCCTCTTCCCCTGGAACAAGTCAGGTGCTGATTTTCTTAAAATTCAGTAGGTGATTGCTTGATCTTTATGTCTAAAGATTTTAGACAAACTTTGCATATATTAACTGCATTCTAATATGTGCAGCCTGAATTTTGCCTTGTCGTTATTAGCTCAAAGTTTATACTATATTTACTATATTGCTTGGTTTTGTTTTTCTCAAATGAGTGTTTTTTTCTAACAGGTGTCACATCATCCTCCAATATCTGCCTTCTATGTTAGCAACCGCAAGGATGGTTTTTGCCTTAGTGGTAGCATTCTGGCCAAATCAAAATTCTATGGTAAATAATGGGGATTTTTTGGTTGTACCTGTATTGAGGGATGCAAAATTCGTGCATGTGAACTGTGTTTTGTGGATGGAAGAAGGCTGCTAGAAGGATCAGTGTTTGGGTTGTTGTATTATCCTTTCCTTACAAAGTTTTTGTTACTGATCTTCAGAACTTTAATTTCTGTTTTTGGAGTGTTTTTGTTTTTTTTTAATTAGAGACACTGTGTATTATAGTGGCTTCACTAGACAGGATAGGTTGCAGTGTTAAATATACTGATGTTCTTAATTGTATTGCTTAGTTATAAGGGAATGTTGACTGTGGTCTTGCAGGGTGAGAAATGTAACAGTCTGTCTTTGAATTTCAGGGAATTCATTATCTGCCATACTAGATGGAGAAGGACGGCTAACGTTTCTAAATAGGGGAGAGGATTATGTAATGACAATGCCATATGCCCATTGTAAAGGTAGGGGTTTTTTTTTATTCTCTAGATGGCAAGATTATGAGAAAATAAGTTTGATACTCTCAATAGTTATTCTAAATTACGTGCTCTGTTGGTTTCGAGCCTGTCATCTGGAGGACAGTATTCTGAACATTGGCAACACTGGTGGCTCTAGGCTTCTACAAATTTTATCAGGAGAAAAATACATCTGTTCTTTAAGCCAGGTTTTCATTTTTGACACAGGAAAAGATTTTTTTTTCATAACTAGTAAGACATAGGGCATATATATAGTTATCTGCCACTACATGACATTAATTTACTGTTTGAATTGCCTCTTTTTAGAGCAGTTTTGAGCTTTTCCACTTTTCCTCTTGTAAACATGAAAAGAAATGTAGTATCTACACCACAGTGTGATTTGATTGTAAATGATGAACATTTGTCCTTAGTTTCACTATGGGAAATGGGTCAGTGCTTTGTGAAGTTATCTGGAAGGTCATTAATAGCAAAATAGATTGCATAATTGCTAATTTTTAAGCTGTAACGTACTCAGTGTTGTCTACCAATATACTCCAAAATTCCCTTTCGGTATACACAGAATCACACAGGAAAGATAATCTCAAAATGCAGTTTTTCCTTTGGCACAAGCATGTTTATGCTAGGAATTCTACCCAAGTAACAGAGGGGTTTTGTTCAGTTAAAAACACTCGTTTTAGCTGAGCGTTTTTGTTTGTTTTTCTTCTTTTCTCTTCATAAAGGAATTCTTTATGGAACAATGACCTTAGAGCTTGGAGGAATAGTCAACATCACCTGTGAGAAAACTGGCTACAGTGCAACGATTGAATTCAAACTCAAGGTTAGTGAATGCTGTAAGTAGGCACAAGAAGGAGAATCAACATAATGTCTGCTCATATAAGCTATACAAAGGTTTCTGAACTACTTCTAGATGGATTCTGAAAAATGCAGTTACCATCCTTGAGGTGGAAACTGATTTAAAGCTGAAAAAACATTTTTCAACAAGTGTACACATGGAGAGGGAAACTGTATTTAGTTGAAATTATAGGGGAAACATTAAATTTGGGAGCCTGTTAACTGACAATTTTCCTTGTCAGTCCACAGGATACATGTGCAGCCTGTGAAAAGGCCAAAGAAAATCCCTGGCAATTGTTGTTGTTTCTACAACAGATAATCTCTAGTAACAAATGGCCCTTGGCAAAGCTGTGAAATTAGTGTAGCAAATGACTGTGTCCTTCAGGATATCGTGTCACTGTTTTCTGCATTATTTTATGTTTTCTTTCCACATATGTTAGACAACACTTTTATTCAGAAAATCTTCTAAGAAGGGAAGAAGAAATTACCTACTCTGGTCTTAGACTTTTTTTAAGATTAATAGGTAGAAGGTACATATTAAAGATACTAGGGCTGTTTACAGCACATTTCATAAATTCACATTTTTCCTTAAGATTAAACATAAAAATAATACGTTATTGAAATAAACATGAAACCATCTCTTTTTGTTTTGCAGCCTTTTTTGGGTAACAATGACAGTGTTAACCAAATATCAGGGAGAATTAAGCTTGGCAAAGAAGTTCTGGCTTTTTTAGAGGGTCACTGGGTAAGTAGTGAGTGACAGAACAAGACAAGTGAAAATAGTGGTTAAACACAAAAAGGACTCATGTTTAAAAAATGTTAAATACTGCTTTTGCAGAAAGCATTCAAGAAAGTATAGAATCAGCATTGTTCTATTTGCAGCTCTTAAAAGGTGGAAAAGTGCATGTTAAAATAGTTTATGAAGAAAAGGAAATGTTGCTTCACAATGAAGCTTATGAACTATATTGTTATATGCATTAGTACTGTGAAGAATTTTAATGGCACCAGCCTGAAATATTTAAGGTTGTTTCAGTTCTTGTTAGGTGACATGGCATCACTCATTTTTGGATGTGGTAATGATTCCATTGCATCTCTGGTCCAAGCTAGACATAGCACAGAAGGTGGAAATTGAATTTTAAGGTTAGCGTATCTAATTATTCTTAACTACATGCATACGAAAGAAAATAAATTCTTCCTACAAAAAAAAAGGCTTATTCCTTGCTTTTTTGTTATTTTGGCACTTTTTGAGATAATTACAATAAAGATACCAATCATATCTGTTTCAGGACAGTGAAGTTATTATTAGTGACAAGAAGACAGGTGTTTCAGAGACATTCTGGAACCCAACATCTGATATAAAGCAGCGTAGATTACATAGATACACTGTGAAGTTTGAAGAGCAAGATGACTTCGAGTCAGAGAAGTAAGTTCACTTTAGAACCATGCATTTATTTTGCCAAAATAGAACTCATAATCTTCTCCGACTTAGAAGTAAATTATCATTACTTTCCCATGTTTGATGATACTGGCCTTTGATGATAAAAGAAAGTAACACTGTTAAATATAAGATCATTATTTATATACCTTACAATCAGGGAAATATTGATAAAAATGTAGGTAAAACATCTATTAAAATGGCAGTATTCTCTTTGGAGGGTGGTCCATTTATTTATCCTATAATTGAAGAAATTGTTTGCAATTATTTCTATCAGCCAGATTGTGGCCCTGGTGACTCTGTATATTGTTCATTTATCAGGCTCTGGCAACAAGTGACAAAAGCAATAAATAATAAAGACCAAACAGAAGCTACTCAGGAGAAATATATTCTGGAAGAAGCTCAGAGAAAGAGTGCCAAAGAGAGGAAACTTAAGGGTGAAGAGTGGACATGCAAGCTGTTCGATCAGGATTCAGTCACAGGAGAATGGCACTACAAATATGCTGAGTGAGTTGTGGAGTGCTTGGTAATGTTGCTGATCCTCTTCCTGTGGTTTCAGCAGCAAAAGAACTGATCCATATAGCTTATTTTTGTATAATGACATAGCTGTGCTATGTTCTAGATTTTTGGGGGCATGGCAGTTTGGGGACCATTGTCTTCCCTTTTTTCTCCCACTGACCAGAACATCTACACAGATTTTCCCAAACTGGAAAATATGGTACATATGGGCATACCACCTGGAAATCAGAAAATCAGAGAAGCCTGTGCTTAGTTGTATTGAGCCATTTAATTTGTTATATATTAGAATGACTCTGAGAATAGCAGGTTTACAGCAATAGTTAATGCTGGGACCAGATGGCTCTGCCTGGCTGTCAAATACGTCCTGCACATGAGTGTTTGTGAATCTCTTTGTGTGATGCTCTAGGTCAGAAGCTGAAGATGTAGCTGTCTCCCTGACTGCTGGAAGGATGCATTCTATGTCCTCATCAATGTTGCAAAAGTCAACTTGAAGCTGAGCCCTTTACCTAGTGATGGTTTTCACAGAGAACCCATGTTCTGCTGATTTTTTTCTCAGTACCCAGCATACTTCTTTATTGTAGGGATTGTAAAAGTAAAATAGCCAAAGATGATACACACAAAGTTAAGTAACTGAATCCATGGATGCTGGAAGCATATTCCCATGGCTAATCCTGAGAGGCCTTTACCTCTCTGTGCAAGAATGGTGATACTGAGGTCATGGCCTAAGTGTATGTACAGGGAAGAGTACAAGAATCCTGAGTACTTTACATGTCTCCAGTAAATTTGCAATTTGGAGGTTTCCTGGAACTGAACAAGGAATCTGTGTATTCAACAACTCTCAGTAAATGTATATTCCATGAATTTCATTGGTTTCTTACTAAGTTTGTGCAGACTTTCACCACTGAAAACATTGTGCAGCAGGGAAATGCCCCCACTAAATGTTCAGTGAAGCACCTTCTCTTGGTTTGAATCCTCTAGTGCTGTTTGTGCCTCTTCCTGTTGGAAGAGTTGTGAACAATCTAGCTGAATTGACTTCCCATACTCTTGAACCCTGTGCGAAACCATTAGGAAGAGAACCGTGCTTGAAATCTGTTAGACTATCCCCTGCAGCTTTAACACCTATTTTGTTAATCTGCATTATTTCTGATGTCCTTGAGAATTTGTGGTTCAAGGATGTGCCACAGAAATTTTGCTATGTACCAGAAAGCAGTTGCACTGACAGCATTCCCTGGAATAAGCCCCTTTCTCCTTTCAAGCATAAAATGCTGGCTCACCACCTGGTCAATGTAGAGAGCAGTCTTCTACACTTACTGTGAAAGATGTGTTCAGTGAGCTGAAGCATTTGTTAAGGTATCTGGATTATGGATTTAGGCATGTGGATTACAAATAGAGAGGAGAGCAATGCCTAGTTCTTAACCCAGTTACCTCAGGTGACATTTCATTCAAGTCAGGTTAAGCTGAGATGTAAGTTCAGGTCTGTGCTCACAACATCTGAAAGAGCTGTTTAAAAGGCATACAGAAGGACATGAAAGGAAAGCCATGCTTAATCTACTCTCACTAAAGCTGTGTGAAAGAACATCTTCCTGCAGCTCACTTGCAGTTTCTGTCCTGAGAAGTCTGTAATCAGTGGTGATGTTGGTATTTTCCTTTGGCTGCTTGCTGTTCTCCAGTGAGCTATGTGTCTTATGCTGTTGTGGTTCTTTTTAAATTCTGTGCGAGACTGTAATTGGAAAATCACTCTTAAAAATCAGAATAAGAAAACTGTGCATTAGTGTTTCATGAAACCAGTCTTGATTACCATTAGCCACTTCGGGATGAAAGCAGGTTTGAAGTCACTGATTCTTAAAAATCTCCTTCAGAGGCATCTTTTAAAAGGAAAAAAGAAAACTCAACAAAAAGCAGTCCAAATACTTTTAAATTCCGCCTAATTTCCCTGTAGTTATTATTTTAAAACTGTATCTGAAGCAGGAAATCTTTCCATATTTGCAAACAAATATGATTGGCAAAAAAAATTCATAATGATATAGTAGGTTAACGTAATAGTTTGTACTCCTATCAGCTGGTTGGGGGTTTGATCCGGACATGAAGTTCATTTTTTAGCTCTATTGGCCCTTCAGGTTAAGACTAGACCATAGGTAGAAGATCATGATGCCATGCCATGAGTTTTAGCCTCATCATAATGAGTAGTTTCTGAGCAAGGAAATATTTAAATTGCTGTAGTATTAATAATATTTACTTTGTCTAGTACCAGACCATGGGACCCTTTGAATGATATGATCCAGTTTGAAAAAGATGGCACAATCCAGACGAAAGTTCGACATCGGACACCAATGGTATGTTCCAGACCTGACAGCACATGCAAGATCCAGGAGCTTGTATATATTATGCATTATGTGTATAAAGATCATCAGAGCACTGGGATTGATGGGAAATGCTATTATCCTACAAAAATGTTTTCTACACAGTCCATACAATGTCTTTCACTTCTGTGTTGTATCCTAAGCAGTAGAAATTACTTGATTGGATAGGAATATAAAAAATGCAAACTTGAGCTCAGCAGTTTAATGTGTATTTTCCTTTAAATAGGAAGATGCACAAAATTCAGACTGCTAATACAGCAAAAATTTTAACTTGGATTTCTATTAGATATTGTGCTTCTAACTGTCGTTGTTGGAATGTGCTGCTTTGCTACAGTTCTGGTTCTCTGGAAATAACACAGATTTATCGATTTTAGGTTACTGTTCCAAAAATCAAACGAAAGCCAACCAGTCAGAAGATAGGAGAGTGTGGTTTCTCATCCCCAGAGCCTGATAACCAAGATTCCTCTGGGAGTGAAGGTACGAAAAGATACATTTACATACAGAAATAATCTGAAGATTTCAGTGTCACGCATACTCTTACCTCAATGTTTTTATTATGCTTTAGTTCTATCCAATGTGAAGCACATTCTGGAAGACAAAAGGAGAAGAATGGCTCATGTTTTTAATTGCAAATTTTCCTGTCTTTTTAAATGCAGTGTAGGTTGGCTTAAGTGCTGCACATATTTAATACCTAGGGGAAAAGAATGGTGTTCATAAATTGTTCTCTTTCTTAAAAGGTTAATTGTTTTAATTTGTAGATTAGTTCCTGCCTAGAGAATAGATTTTTGTTGTTGACAATGTTTGCTGATGCTAAACAATATGATGAGTGTTTAAATTATATTTCAAGCACCTCAGTTGCCATCCTGTGGTATAGATGACTCTGAAATAGTTTTTAATAGAAGCTAGTTAGAAAATTTTCTCTTCATTTTTACTACAGGTTTAGTTTGTCGTTCTTACTTTGTTCCTTTTATGGCAGCAGTCACTTCAGTCCATTACATCTGCTCTCTGTTCCTTCTAGCACAACTGAAGCATAATACAAGAATAAGGAAAAAAGGGGCAGACCTTGGTGAACTGCAGAGTGCCATTGAGTCTATAAAGGAGACGCAGGAAGACATTAAGAGGTAGTACTAATTTAAATGCTTTAAAATTGTTTAGAGAATAGTAATCTCATAGGTTTGGGTTTTTTTTTTCTCTTAGAGGTTGGTATGTATCGTTACTGTTCTCAAATATTGATTACCCATTGATGTTTCATAGTTTTCTCTAAAGCTGCCTTCTGAAGGGAACCGTAACATAGTAGAAAGAATCAAATTGTCTAGTCTTTAATTTATTGTTTTCTGTCTTACCAGGGAGATCATGGCACTACGAAATAGAGTCATTTCTAATTCATCACCCTGGGACTACCATTCCTTGCAGTTTAAGCACTATGTCTTCATTGTACTCATGGTTCTGCTACAGCTTATCATTAATTTCTTGTTCAAATAAGAAGTGTGAACAAAGGCCTTCTTGAACTGGAATGATCAAACTGTTACTGGGGACCATATTTTAAGCTGGACTTCAAATGATGCAATATTATGTAAAAGAACCGTGTAGCAACAACTCACAGAACTTTGCCTCAGCGTTCATGGTTCAGAATCATACTTCTGTCTACCCAGTTGCAGTAAGAATTGTGTAAGTGCCACAGTACACTCTTGCTCCTGGTGTGTGCCTCTGTCTCACAGTAATGCGGCATCAGCCTTGTGTTTCTATTGCGTCATACTGGTGAATTTTCACCACAGAATAGCTCAAGTTAAACACTGAGGTCAGACCCTGTAGGTAGGATATGATTCCTATTATGGTAGAATGATAAACAGGCATACTTCATTACATATAAACTTACCATTTTTGTAACAAAGAAACTTTTGAAGTAGCCAACAGCTTTTGTAAATGGCAATGGGTGTTTGGAAGTAAACTTTTGTTTAAGGTCAAACAAATACATTATTAAACGAAAAAATAGTGAGTATTAGGAAATAGCAAGTAAAAAGTTAAAGTCTTTGAGAAATCTGCAACATAATGTCCTTGACTTGTTTTGGAAGTATGAGGTTTTTATCCTGAATTACTATAGGCTTGTAAGCCAGCTGTTTTATAGTTTGAAAACTTAAGATTCATCATAAAAACATTCCCACACCTACTGTACAGAGCACGTTTTTAACAGTACGACAGCCAAGAGGTAGTTTTGGTCTACTCTCATGAATCGCAAATGTCAAGGATTTCTGGTATGTTTGTAAGTCTTGAAAAATCTGCAGCTTTAGATTTACATTTGTGTATGGCCCTGTCACAGTAAGCAATCAGACTGCTGATGCTCACGGTTATTTTTGAAACAAAATGTGAAGAGGCGTGCTTAGCGTGTAACTTTGACCTGAATCTCCAAAAGGCAATATAGAATAGGATTCAGGCACTGTGATGAGTAGACCTGCAAATGAAAATGTGTGTGTTTACACAGGGGAAGCTCAGAAACTGTGGGATAGCTAACACCACATATCTCAAAACGACTAAGAGGAAAATCCAAGTGTTTGTGAAATCCCTCTCTACTGCAAATATCTACTACCTACCAGAATACATGGATGCACCTTCTTAGTATGCTGTAGGCATACAAATTCATGCAAAGCTTAAGTTTAAATTCAAAACCAGGGTTTATAACATTTTTTTATTTGAAGAAATATATGCATGTATAGAATTTGTAAAATTCCAGCAAAAACGTAGTGCTGGTGTTTATCTGGTGAGTTTCCTGTGCCAGTCAAGCATACCAAGGCAAAAAGGGGTTGTAGAAATGAAAAGGTATTTTCAGTACCCCAGGTTAGATAACAAGAGGATGAGTAGCACAATGTGAAGGGCAGCCAAGTTTATTTTCAGAGGATCCTCTCAGAAATCACATCCATCCTGGGCAGTGGAACAGTTCAAATGTCATATGTTTCGCTTTTTGCCATGGCCAGATTATGCTTCTGCCTCGGGCAGCCTACCTGACTCTCCAGGTGATCTGCCTCTCTGTTCTGCATCAGTCTCACTAGTATTTAGTGAAAATACTGTTTACTCGTTTATCTGTCCAGCTTATATATTTCTGTGGCTGACACTTTCAGGCACCTCCTCTTCTTGTTAACCTTTCCTCTTCCTTGGGCCTCAGCTATGTAAAAGTTTATTGTGTAAGCAGTGAACTTTAGATATTTCATATAGCTTCACCTTAGCATGGTTTGGTCTTGAATCAATTTTTCTGGAACATGTTATGTTAACCAGATCTTGTAGCCATAGGCAAGACCAAACCTGGTTGGACTTCTATTATATCTACAGCTGATGGGACAAGATTTGTGAATATAGAAAGTCCCTTCATAAACAAACAAAATAATCACAAATGCCTCAGTCTTTAAATGGAAACTGAAGTTGTTATCCATGTATGAAATGGCATTAAGAAAGCAGAGTATTACAGCATTCACTTAAACATTCTTAGCCTGGACTTAAGAAAGCAGAGTATTACAGCATTCACTGAAACATTCTTAGCCTGGAATTTGGCTGTTCATTATTTCTTTCAGATGTCAAAGCTTCACCTGTCTTAAGATCCATTACAAGCCTTTAAACATATTCTGAACGTGAGAATAATCCAATGAGTGAGATTTGGGCAATAACTTAAATTCCCTAAAATAATACTCTGCTAAATTTGTGGTGCTGAAACTCTTGACCAATAGTTACAAGCTTTTATCTTTCTTGTAAATAGAAATGTCCTTCTGCCTTTTCATGCTGATTTTTCCAATCACTTCTATTCAAGAGCAGTGAATAACACAGTCTGCATGCATTTTTACATGGGCCACGTGGTAGTGACTGCATTTGACCCAGCCAGCTGGCTGGCTGGCAGTTTAGGGTTGGACGATGTTAGACTTAAAAGATACTCCATAGCTGAAGTTCATGCTCAGCTCAAGATGAGTAAAAGACTTGAACAGAGCAAAACAAAATCCTTATGCTTATTTTCCTTTTCAATTTATTTTTTAGAGTTGAATTCTTTTGAAAAAGTGGTTTTTAGTGATGATCTGGAAAGGTAAAGGATATGTGATGAAACTCTTTGAAAAGTAAAACTGCAGACTTCTGCAAGACTTCATGATTACATAAATTCTGAAAAGTACAGTGACAACCTAGCAATTCTTATCTTGCTGGGTTTTGTATGTTCCCTCACTTGAATAGAACAAAGATACTTCTTCCCTAATTTTTACTGTACATTTTTACTGGTCACAGACATGTATGGATCCTTTTAGTGTGTCACCATTGTCCTCTTCAGCCATGATGTACAGCAGATCTTGACTACTACCTGCTTAAGACTGAGCTCTGCACATATATAAAAATTGATTGTACAGTTTGCAGATGTTTGAGGGCTGTGGCCTTCTAGTTTTTAAAGTTTATAACAGCACTTGTTTTCACATTTATTTCCAAATCCTGTTTTGTTAGGGGTTTTTTTTCCTTGTACAGGAAATATCTGCAAATTTATTGCCATGTGGTTTTGTTGAGTTGGTTGGTTTGTTTTCAGATGCACTCTATGCCTTTAATTTGCCATTTAGGTACAGGTTGCCTAATTGGGTACAGATAATAACCTAAGCTAAGAAAAAGTAAATATGCCATGTGAAATGCAACAAGTATCATTTTCAGTAGATGATGTTTCTTGAATTTCATGTGCTGATTCCTTATAAATAGTTGGTATTACTTGATGAAGGTGTATAGCCCGGTTTTCGTGTCCTTCCTCCCACTTGTGAAATCTCAAAATTATGTGCAAGGTTGTCCTGTAAAATGTAAGGGTTGAGGTTTTTCTGTTTAGGTTGTTATTTGCTGCCCTTCTGTGCCTTTGGCAATTTTTTTTTCTTAGACTCGTAATTCAGTGTTTCTTAAAGGCTGTTATTTTTAGTTATTACCATTGTTTGTGTAAATAACGTGTAACAAAAATTCTGTACATCTCTAAGTTTTAATTATTTTTATTTCAGGAGTACCCGCAAATCACAGAAAATTTAGCAGATATTCAAGTATTGTAAACAGTGCCTTCTTGATGGGTTTCTATGTTGTTCGGAGACATGTAAAGATTTGTCAGATTTGTGCCATATATAATATCAAACCTTTTGTGAGGGCTGTTGTTTTGAGAACTGATGTTCCTGCTTAGTCAGACTCCGGGGAGCGGGGGGAGGAACAAATCTTGTAATGTTACACTGTTCCTTCTTTCTGGCTGGAGAGTGGAGGATTTGGGATGTTTACAGTGAAGCTGCACTACTTTGTGGTAATACAGAAATAGCTCGAACGATATAACTTCAGAGCACGATTATCTGGACTTTTTCTCCTTAACTTTTTCTCCCCTGTGGCCTACCCCGGCCTTTCGCTCTGCCAAGCGGGAAGATTAGCCCTCAGGACACAGCGCCCGCTTCCCCGTCCCGCGTGTCGCGCCCGCTCCGACACCGGGATCAGCGCTTTGTGTGAGGGATCTCAGCTGTTTCGGGCCGCCTCCAATAAAGATGTGTCGCACCTCCGCGTCTCTGGGCTCTGTTCCCCCCCCGCTGCTCGGTCCCCGCAGCGGTTCCCGCTCTCCCCGTCCCATCCCTCAGCGGTGCCGGGGCGCGGCCGTGACGCGCGGCGGGCGGGCGGACGGGCGGAAGGGGCGGCCCGGGCGGGGGGCAATGGCGGCGGCCGTGCCGGAGCAGCCGCGGCTGTGGCAGGAGGCGGCGGCGCTGGCGGGCGCGGTGCGCGGCGCGCTGGGGCCGCGGGGCGGGCGGGCGCTGCTGCTGCGGCCCACGGGAGAGGCGATGCCGACGCGGGACGGGCGGCGGCTGCTGCAGGCGCTGAGCGTGGAGCCGCCCGCGGCCAGGTACCGCGGCGGAGGGGGCCGGGCGAGGCCGGAGGGGGCGGCTCCCTAACGCTGCCCGTGTCCCCCCAGGGTGATGGCGGCCCGCGCGTGCAGCCACCGCTCCGCGACGGGGGACGGCGCCAAGAGCTTCGTGGTGCTGCTGGCGGCCGTGCTGGGCGGGCTGCGGAGTGCGGGCGACGGCGCCGGGCTGCGGCGGGCGCTGCGGGACTTCGAGGCGCAAGTGCTGGAGCGGGCGGCGGCGCGGGGGCTGCGGCGGCACTTGCGGCCGGCGCCGCCCGGCTGGCCGGAGCCGCTGCTGGAGCCGTACCTGGCCGGCCGGCTGGGCCCCGGCGAGCGGCGGTGCCTGGCGCGGCTCTGCGCCGAGATGTGCCACCGCTGCGCCCCGGCCGCCGCCGCCCGCCCGCAGGTGCTGAGGCTCCTCGGCCGGCGGTTCGCGGAGCTGCACGCCGCCGTGCCCGGCCTGCCCCTGGCGAGCTCCAGGGTCCTGCCCGGCATCGTCCTGCGCAGGGACTTCGCTGTGTACTGCCCGACGGACGGGGAGCTGCGGGCCCTGCTCGTCACCGAGCCCCTGCGGCCCGCCCTGACGGCCCCCGGTGTCGAGTTTGTTGTAGACTCCGAGGGTCAGTATCAGGCTTCCCTCCGCTGGATCGCCGAGAGGACAGAAGCCTTGATGAAACGCTTGCAGAGTAACAACGTTAAGCTGTTACTGTCGAGTGCGAAGCAGGAAGAAGTAGTTATCTACTATGCCAAATTATACGGTGTGTCTGTGGTAGAGTGCTTATCGTCGGAAGAAATGGCCCTTATCGGTGAAATCACCGGTGTTTGTCCTTACTCACCTTTCGGTGATAACATGGACAGAGAAATTACCGAAACTGCGGTGGTAACGTTTTGCCGGCCCTTGCTGCTCGTCTCCAAGAGATGTGTGCACATTGGCCTCACCAGTGTGTGTGCTTTCCAGCCCCATTGCCTCATCCTCTGTGGCCCGGTGGATGGTGTTAATGAGCAACATGCTGCTGCTTTACAAGAGGCATTCACAATGCTGCAGCAGCTGTTGAAAACAGTTGATCACAGGGAGCAATGGAAAGCAGAAGGTGAAAGCCAGAGCGAAGCCTCAGATATTTGCACTTGTCATTTTTCAGCTACTCAGAAACAACTGATAATAGAAAATACTTGTAATAGTAACCAGGTTTCTGAATGTCAGTTGAAAGCACTTAGTGATGAAACAGAGAGAAGAATTTTAGACCCTGATAAAAGTGATCTGCTGGTCCACAGTCAAAAGAACCACAGCACTCCTGTGTTAGTGGCACATAACACTCATACAGTCACTGCATGTGAGTGCCTGGATGTTGGCAAAGGTCTAGAGAAAGCATGTTGCCGTATAGCTCCATTTACACAGGAGGAGAGTTGTGCAGGTATTGCACAGGATTACGTCAGCTGCCTCATAGAAGCAGGATCAGTTTTGCCAGTAGGAGGTTACTTTGAAATCCTGTTACATTATTATATTCAGGACTATGCAAAACAGTGTCAGCAGTCAGAGGTAATAATTGTATCTAACGTGGTTGCTGATGCTTTGCTAAGTATTCCCAAGGCCTTGTACCAGAAAGCAGAACAAGATGGCTTTACCAAATTCTATCTTGAAACCATTAATTTACTCCGAAAAAATCAGCCACTGCCTATACACGATGAAGGCTTAGAGTCAGTGTATTGCAAATACCAGTTGGTCATTTCAGTTCTTCATTGTGTTACAGAGCTTCTCTCCATAGACTTAGTAATTGGTATTAGGCAGCCACTCCAAAAAATTGAGGATTGTGACTCAGAAGATGACTCTTGAAATCATTAATAAAGAATGATTTTGAAGATGTCTTGTTTCCTTATGTCTTCTTGCAAAATGGACACCCTCAAAAGTCAGTGCTAGTGACTAAAAGATGCTTCTTCTCTTAGAAGAAAAAGGCTAACTAGCTGAGGAAAACTGGGTTGTGAGCAACATGAACTCGACATTTTGAGCGTGAGAAAGTGTTGCCAATTTCCACTGCAGAAAATGTGCAGTGCAGTCTCCATCCACGTGCTGAGGATCCTGTGTACATTCCAGCCAAGGGTCAGCTTTGCCTCTTTAGATGGATTGAGTATTTTCACAAGCTAGATGTGATTTGTTTTCTTGGCATGTTAAAATTTGCCAGTATGGCAGAGCCACTGACCTTTCAAGTTAGGAACCAAGGAATGGATTTTGTAGCCTTTATAATTAGCCAGATTAAATTTTTTTTTAATAAAAGTATTTTGTATAAATCGGGAGTTTGACTATAAAGGGAAAAATATAACTGTTATTAGCCTGTTCAGCACTGGGGCAGACATCAGGGAACCACTGTTGTGTATCCCAGTGAAGAATTTTCTGACAGGAGATGCAACATTTTTATCTTCCATTGAGTTCATTTCTGTTGAACTAGAAGACGTAAGAATGATTTCATACCGTGACTTTACAGCGGTTCCTCTGGAAAATTAGTTTATGTGACATTGCTTAGTACAACTATTAATTTTAACTACCATGGGTTGAGTTGAAGTCCTGCTATAAAAGGCTGTGTACTTATGGGAAAAGTTTACCCAGGCACTAATGCAGTTCTTTGTGAAAAACCTGAGACAGTTGAGTCTTTGATCATTAGGGATTTTATTCTGGGTTTGTTTTTTGTTTGGTTCTGTTTTTCCCTAGTTCTGTTTTCCCCAGAATTTTCACCGTAATAATATTTGCTGTAAGCCCAGTAGCACCTGCATGTGTACCTCCCTTTCTGCTGGGTCCTAAAAAACACAGGTTTGATGGAGGAGGTTTTTGAGTAATTTGACCAGCTGCAGCTGATGATTGGTTCTCTGTGCATTTGCCAGTGTTGCATAACACTGAGAATAACAGTTTTTTGGTATTTTTTTAAATCTACCATTAAATAAGATTTAGTGGGGCTGTTTAAAGCCATAAGCATAAATCATATGTACCTGTTATACCTGAGATGATTACAACTAGAGATTTTCCCCCTCCATTAATTTATGCTTTTCTTTTTTCATTTTCTTCAGAAGACTCAAACTAACAAAGTTCTGTCAGGTATTTTTTTGTTGAAGCATTGTTCAGCAATGCTTTGTTTGTCTACAACTTTCCATTGACATTTTACATATATTCCTGGTAATATAAAACATGGTAATTTTTTTTCATGGCTAATATGCTCTTACAGACATCTGCAGATGAATAATAGTGAAACTCAGGGCTCACTAGAGTGATTTCTTTAATAAAGAACTAAGGACAGTAATTCTTTTTGTTAGAATCTTTTGGCAGGTGTGGGGGTGGGGGAAAATTAAACAGGGAGGAAAGAGAATCCCATTTGTGTTGCTGCCGTGTGCTCTTGGAAGCTGCTTAAAGCAACAGGTCCAATATGAGCCAAGAGAAATCTGCGTTGTGGAAAATTTCAGAGCTCTGTGCCCTGTTCTGCCCGGATAGCGTCAGGAGCTCCCACCAGCCCTGGCACTTCAGCAGCCACTTGGGTCTGCATTTTACTGCTCTAATGAGCTGATGAGACACTTTTGCTCTTGCACAGCTTTCTCCAGTACTCTCCAAACCACTGACCAACTTGTTGGCCAAAGATGAGTGATTTGCTCTGTGGTGGTCTCATCAACTGTGGCACTGAACATGTGAAGCTTGGCAGCAGCGGGGGTTCTCTGCAGAAGCTGCTTTTGTATTCCAAATCAAGGTGCTGTCTAAATAAAGAGAGAACTGTGTCATTTCACATTACTTTATACCATTTGCACATCTGGTTACTTTGAGATTTACTGCAGTTTCTTTGAAAGGTTAAAAATATTTTGTTACATGAACGGCTTTCTGGTCATTTGATTTAAATTGTGTCATTCTTACTGAGAAGAAGAAAGTCCAGAAATTTTATCATATAGAACTCTTACTTTTGCATGCCAGAGATGCAAAGGAGAATTTAAAAATGACAGTTATATAAAACTTCTTTCTGACCTGTTTTTGGTGAAACCTCTTGAGTCTGAAGATTCATTGAAGCGGGACTATATTTCTTTGACTTCTCTGTCCTTTTATATTTTATGAATGATCAGTTTTCCATTTTGAACTACTGTTTCCTTGTTCTGTCTGCAGAACTAGGAACATGGCAGGCTTTTCTGTTGGAATGTCCCTTCCTTCTTTGTCCTGGGCTGTAGAAGTAGATGCTTGTTCAGGATTTGGCTGTTTGGTTCCAGTCCTGGAGTCTAAGCCCATTACAAGATGTGCACCAGCTCAAGGGGAAAAAAAAAAGGCATTAACTTAGTCTGTAGAGAGAACAGATTTACTGCTGGATTCAGCCCTTTCTTATCCTTAGGAGTCTTCTCCAGTAATTGGCCTGGATGTGTAAGCATGATCTGTCTTAGAAAATGTTCTGGGTTCATTGCTATCCCGTCTACCCTTTAAGAGAAAGGCTACTTGTAGCCCTGAGAAGCATCTCAGTCTTCTGGGCTCTGGCTCAGGTGCTGTCACTGCCATTTCTGCTCTGCTGATGTTTCCTGACCTGCTCCAGCAGATGCCCCACATTGCAGAGGCTGCTTGGGCTGTGAATGTTCCTTGGTACCTAAGCCTCAGGTATGCAGTCGTTCATGGCATCTTGCAGCCATCCTGATTTTTAAAGCTGTCTCTAGCTGTAGCTTGCCCTTTGGCAGGGAGACAAGTGATCTCTTGACACAGTGACAGGGACCAAAGAGATTGCCTGGGACAGCTTGGGACAATGTGTTTACTCACTCAAATTCACAGGGACAGATGTGTTGGGGCATTCACTGGGGTTGTAACAGCCTACGGCTTTTTTTTCATGCACTGTTTCACAGGGATTATTTCTATTTTTCACCATTATTCTATTATTTTTATATTACTAAATATGGGTTGGCTTCCATGCAAAGTGGAAGTCAGGTACACATGGACATGTTTCCACTCAGGTCCAATCTTGAAACAGGACATAAAGTTCAGGGATACTGATGCTAATAGCCCAATATTAAAAGAATGGCTTTAAAAAAATCTTGATGTTTAACCCTCCTTTCTGCCGCCCTTAGCAAACTTAGATTCTGCCCCACATAAAATTCACAAGAATATTTTGAAGGCATTCACCCCACCCACAAGGACTTATAGGTGTATTTTAAGCAAGGTAATCCTATTTGTCAGGTAGCAGATTCACATATACAGGCAGGTAGTATCTCATTTTTCTTAAATTTCAAAAAGCCCAGTTTTAATAAATGTGTCTAGTAATGTGCAGGGAGATTAGTTGCATGCAGTTTTTGGGAATAGGAATAATTTATTTACATGACAGAAGCACAGTGGTTTTTATTGGTTGATTTGTGTGGGGGTCGAGTCTGAGCAGAATTTTACAAGTGCTGGGACCAAACTGAGGCAGCCTCTGTTCCCCAGCTCTCCTGGAGCTGCTGTTCCCACTGCTGACCCCGCCAGCTCCTCAGCACCTTCCCTGGCCCTGCTCTCTGCTCCCCATCGCACCTGGTTAACAAACAGGTATTGCTTAACTTCCCTAGTGGAAGTTATGCAACCTGAGTGTGGCCTTACATTTCCATCCATGCTTAGCTGACCTTCAGAGTTTTTGGCAGCCAGACAGAGAGCATCATTAAATAGGAACTAGGCACAACAAGGAATATTGTTCTGTTGTGCCACAAATCTCACACTGTGGAATCACATTTGTAAGAGGGGATAGGAGAAAGCAACATTTTGTTTAGGAACATAACTGTATAGTGGCATATTTTATATTTTTCTGTATATTTTATATGCAGAAAAATTATATTGTTTCTGTTGCTATCTCTAGGAGTCATCTTCCAGAGTCCATGTGAGAAGATTAAGGAAGATTAAATTCTTCACTTGCATATATCTCCTGGACTTCACTAGAATTGCATTCATCTGTTCTGAATTTCCTTTTTGTTACATGACAGATCTGCTGTTAGTGATGGAAACTTCTGTTTTCATTGCTAAATTATTTCTATGCTTATTTAGGTTAATCTATCCTCTTGCATATTTCTTTTAATCAGGTTCTTTTAAGTCTCATGTTAAGAGAAGCTTTCAATGTTCAGTTGCAAAATTCTGTTTCGTTTAATTTTGATCTTAAAATCTAAGAAACTATGTGGTTTTGTCACTAGTAAACCCAAATATTAAATAGTTGCTCTATTTGCTATAGTATTTATCCCATTATTGCTATTAAAACTAAACAAGAGAGTAAATGTCTGAATTTAACACCAGTCAATTTGGAAATGCATTGGCATAATAACACAATTATACTTTTGCAGTATCACTTTGTGTAAGGTGTCGTTTGTACTCTGTTAATGAGACTAGAAATAGATGTTTAGATCTAGGATTATGCAAATTACTTCTCCCTTAATAGAATATTAAGCTAATAATTACTTCTAAGATTAAGAATTTTAATTGTTGCATTCCAAAACTAAAAACAATAGCCAAAAGTTAATAGATGTAATACATAGTAACTCATTCTTCATTATATGATTCAATAAAGGACCAGACTTTGTAAGTGATGCTTATTTCTGTAATAGATCAAACAGCATACTCTTTTTAAAAACAGTCCTGGCAAAAAGAAAACAAAACAGTTTTCCATAGGGACGCCATTTGTGCTGGTTCAGCGAGCAGCTTGTTTCTCACAAAGTCACCAGCAGATAAAAGAACTGTTACACCGAGGCTTTGGTCCAGTGCCGGATTAAGGGCACGTCAGTAATGCTCTGTCGTGCATGGCTGTGTCCTAAGCCATCGACAGCAGGAATCACTATAAAAAATAAAATTTCCATTAAAGGTATTTTAAAAATGGTATTGTTTTACTGAACAGATTTTCTAATCTGTT